CCTCCATCCCTCTGACATTCGTCAGTCTGGTCCATGCTTCCATGTCATTGAATCTATTCTGTTTATCTATTTATTAAGTTCTTTAGATTCCNCTGCCTGGCTTATTTCACTTAGCATAATTTTCTCCAGGTCCATCCATGCTGTTCCAAAGGGTACAAGGTCCTTCTTCTTTACAGCTGCGTAGTACTCCATGGTGTGAATGTCCCACAGCTTTTTAATCCACTCATCTATTGCTGGGAACTTGGGCTGTTTCCAGATCTTGGCTATTGTAAACTGTGCTGCTATGAGCATAGGGGTGCATTTATTCTTTCTGATTAGTGTTTTTAGGATTCTTAGGATATATTCCTAGAAGTGGGATTGCTGGGTCAAAAGGCAGCTCCATTTTTAATTTTTTGAGGAGTCCCCATACTGTTTCCCATAGTGGCTGCCCCAGTCTGCGTTCCCACCAGCAGTGTACTAGGGTTCCCCTTTCTCCACATCTTCCCCAGCACAAGTTGTTTGTTGATTTGTTGATGGCAGCCATTCTCACAGGCGTGAAGTGATACCTCATTGTGGTTTTAATTTGCGTCTCTCTGATGATTAGCGACGTTGAGCATTTTCTCCTGTGCCTCTTGCCCATCTGTATATCCTCTTTGGAGAAGTGTCTATTCAGATCCTTTGCCAATTTCTTAATTGGGTTGTCTGTCCTCCTCTTGCTGAGTAGTATGAGTTCTTTGTACCAGAGATCAATTCTTGGTTGAATAAAATGGATGACATATGGAAGCAGTCTATGTCCATTTTAGAGAAAACCATTTCCAATCACTGAACCAACTTTTTGAGATGTCCCAATTTCAATACCATGGTTATCTTAAAGATGAGAATGATTCTAAAATCAAATATATATATATATGTGGCTAAACATTATAAATTCTATAATATTTTTTCTTAGGGGTTTAAAAAATCCTGGACTTTGGAAAAAATTCTGAAACAAGCTTGTGTTCCGATTATGCCGAAACTCCCACAGAGCCTGTTAGGACTGGGCTTTGCCCCCTAGCGTCCACAGGGGAGTGTGACAGGCTAACGGATGGAGGGCCAGGAAATGTCTTCATTACACTTCTTTGTGCCTTGACTGCAGGCAAACATCACTGTGATCACTGTTCAGAGGCAAATATCCCTGTAACCATTTCCGTGTGGGCACGTTTCCTCTGGGAACAAAGTGGGGCAAAGATGACACGGGAGGGTGGGGTCAGATACTCAGTCCCAGGACCGTCCAGGGAACCGAGGTGTCTGTCTTGTCCTAGGACTGGCCTTGCTTTCATGATATCTCCAAAAATTTCCTACTTAAAAAAAAAATCCTACTTTCCTACCAAGAAAAAGCTCAATATATGTTGGGGAGAAAGACCAATCCCCACACATTCCCCCCCCATAGTGTCAGCATTTTGTTAAAGTGAATAAAAGTGTTAAAAAAACCCAAAACAAACCAAAACCACAAACCCATATGCAGAAATTGGCAAGTGAAACACAAACAGTAGGAATTTGAAAGTCTAACCAGAACAAGTTTTTGAAAAGTCGAGGACAGATGACATGAAAGGCCTTTGGTAACTTATAGTATATAATCTTCATGTTTATTGGGTAATACTCACAGGCCAAACTTTACAGTTTATGTTCTTTAAAAGTCACATGAGAGCCTTAAAGCAGAATGCTGCCTGAAAATGAGATCTTTGGTGACATTTCATTGCGGCTGGATTTTTAAGCCTCCTAATCTTAAACACATGATTAATGTAGAGATGAGAATTAGTCATAAGGCTTCATACTTCCTATTTATAGTCTAGTTTGTTTTATAGCTTGTAACAATTATAATAGGTCACAGTTGGAACTGGATTATAACCAAAACCATAATCCTACTAATATATTAAATAAAGCTGAAAGTTTAGCATAGATAAGAGCTTTTGAGGCTGTTTCCCCAAATTAGAATTTATTTTAGCACCTGACATGAAACAAAAAAATGACACATCAAAATAGAAACATAGCTAGGTAAATAAACAATATGTAACATCTCTTTATTTACTAGTATAACTTATCTAATACTTTATTACCATTTTCAAAAAAAGTTGATTCTTTCCCTAGGTAACTGGAAAACTTTTAAAAACATTATTTTAAAAACCTCACAACCAATTTTCATCTTATTTAGCAGATAAAATGTTGTTTTTCATTTGTGAGCTTTCAGTTGGCACAAACTACATAAGGACCTCGACATACATACATTTTAATTTCATTTTTGTCATAACGTTAGTGAAAAATTAAATCAAGTGAATGAAGCTGAAGTATTGTTAAATCATCCTGGTGATCACAGTGTTCTGGGTAGAAAACTGCTTTGCTAGTGAACATTGGATAAAGCATATGGTACACAGGTAATATTTGAAACTTGCTACTCTTTTCCTGTATTTCTGCTCCAAGCTCCAATGGGGATAAAGACAAGAAAATAGGTCAAGGGGAGAAAAGAGCCTTTGGTGACTCAGGCAGCCTCAGATGGAGCAGTCTCAGCAGCTTCTCAGTGGGCCCTGGAAGGGCTTGCTGGATCCGTATGTGCCGCCATAGCCTTAAGTGGTACAACAGGGAACGGCAGGGGTCAGCACTCTTTCCTGTAAAGGGGCTTCTTTCTTTCCTTTCTGCCATTGTTGCTGGGGCTGGAGGGACATTAAAAGTGGCTGATATAAAATAAAAAGATGAAGGTTCTTTTAATATCTCTTTTTATCCTATTGGAAAGATTTTTTCAGGCTTATTTCTTAAACATCTAAGAGGGCATTACAATCTGAGATTATAAAACTAGATAGGTTATCATTTATTTTCCAGTGCTTTCCTTTTTAAGAAGATTATGTTTTTGGGCTTTTTTTGTGGGTTTTTTTGGTTAACCCTCACCCAAGGATATATTTTCCATTGATTTTTTTATTTTATTTTTAAGAGTGGACACATCAATGTGAGAGAGAAACATCGACTGGTTGCCTCCCGCACAAGCCCCAACCAGGACCAGGATCGAACCTGCAACCCAGTTACTTGCCCTTGACTGGGAATCGAACCTGAGATCCTTCAGTGTGTGGGCCGATGTTCTTACCACTGAGCAACATCAGCCAGGGCAAGATGATTATGTTTTAAGGCCTACTACTATTATGTAATAAAATCCCCAGAAATTTAAGGAACTGTACATTTTCCTTTTTAATAAAGCACATGGCAAAACAATACTTTATTTAATAAATGTATAGGAAATTACAATTTAAAAATTGCAAATACAGCACATATACTATACTTTGATTTTAAATTACATGGACAAAAACACCAGCTTCGAAATCGTTCTAAAACCAATCATATGCAAAATACTGGTTTCTGAAGGGGCATATGGAAAAGTGTCTACAATTTCTTAACCTGTGATATGGCTTACTTAGCAACAGATGCTTATTTAGAGAAGCACAAACTTTCCGGATGTACAGTATCTTCCAGGTGTAGGGCGGACACAGTGGCACATCCCGATTTTCTGTCGCAGTTATTTCAGAAAATATGCAATTGCAGTATTGAAACTGACATGGTCAGAGAAAGTCCCCATAAATGTTTTCCAGTCTTACTGAAAACCAGAAACTGTTTGGTGGTCCTCACAGTATGACTAGAAGGACAGGTTAGCCCCGTTTTCAGCCAGAATTCAGTGACAGGCTGGCCGGAGTGCACACGCACAGTTCAACAAGAGGAGCTCCTACAAGTTCTCTCCAACTTCTGTGCTCCTACCAACACCACAAACAGTGTCCCTGCTTGGTGATCTGTAAGACAAGTCTGAAGCTCTGCTGGCGATTCACATAACAGATTGTAGTTAGGGTTTGCAAATGGTACTTTGGTTATAAAGGTATTAAGCTTAATCAGGTACTTGGAGATCAGACTTGCCTGCCCTCAACGCAGCATAGCGAGGTGCCACATTTGTTTGTGACTAACACCCAAATGGCTCATGAGCTAAACATGGTTCAAAGACAAATTGAACCAAATGAACTGATCTTGTACCTAGGAACACAGTCTGTAACTTTAAATTTACTATATGTCAGGCACAGTCAACAGAAGAATTGCCTAAAACCTTGTATCGAAGGGGCTCAGATTCTGTAAGAACATCTTACTCCTTATGATGAACCAATTAATATAAATGCCTAAAGAAAATAAACTTAGCTACTGTGCTTGTTTCAGAAGTGAACGATTCTCTCTTCTACAGTAGTGGGAGTGGATGTGAGAAGCACAGCCCCGTGGCTTATTAGCCAATGGCCTTTGCTTGTGGCTGCACAGTGTAGTCTGTTTCTATCGATCAGAATAATCAGCTGTTGAAAAACGGTTTTTCTTACTTGGAAACACCTTTAAAGTGGTGCTTTGTCTCTGAAAGATGGTTTTCTCCTCACATTAAGAGGAAAGGGAAGCTCATGTCTATGTCTATTCTGGGAAAATTCTACCAAAGATAAACACTGTTAGTGAGGACCTCTGGGTTCAACAGACAGAACCAGAACACAGAGACTCCTAAGAACAGAAAACTTCATTTTAGAAAATGGAAATATAGCATCCAGAGTTGAAAAAGAAACAACAATAAGAACTCCAGTGAGTTGGCAAATAATACTGATGGGAGCTGCAAGTAGTGAAAATCTGGGCTCCAGTTACACAGGCAGAGCTAATGGAAAATGTATGTGTGAATTACAGTCACTTCTGGTTCTGCATTTCAAAGCTCTCTGAAATATGCCTCATTCAGCCGCATTCCCCACATTGTATTTCTAAGGCAGCACGGTCATTAACGAAACAATACGCCTTTTCCTAAAATAAATCAAAAGGCTAGTCTGGCCAGACTTGTGAAACACAGGTTTATGTACACAGCTAAATGATTATTTGCAATGTTAATGAAAACACGTTGCACTGAAAAACTGCCCAGTTTTTAGGTAATGATGTGTTTTCCCAGTGCAAAGTGAACAATGGCAGGTGTTTATCCAGGCTCAGCTGCTTCTCACAGGACAATGGACTGCTCTTTCTCTGAGGGCCGGCTGAGCGGTGTACCTGGTGGTTGTGGCTCAGGGGGTGAAGCACAGACCACGTGTTCTGTGTCAGAAGTTGGGCAGTCCCCGCTCACATATGCTAAGTTCACATCCTTCTCTGTGGGTTTTGTCAAGTTACAAAGAGTTAAATCTATCAATTATCAAATCTCACAGACCCAGTAGAGTAAAAGTACAAAATCTGTAGTTCTTGCCACAAAAACAAAACAAAGCACAGAAACCTTCAGGTGTACCTAATTTGAAACAGAACATAATAATTAGGGTTTACAAAAGTTGTCATTGTTTCTGCATTTTACAAAAGGATTCTTTTCAATTCTCAAATGGATTTCAGGCTGTTTTACCCAATAACTTTTCAAGGAATAGTTTGATGTGAAAAGTTAGACATACCTATATAAGATAAAGGAAACTTTACAGGAAAGAAGCTCAGTGGATGTGGGAAACAACTGCAAATATGGGAAAATCCATTATCACACAACGCATCTCCTCTCCTTCCTCTGCTAGGTGCACACAGTACGCGAATGCCCAGGTGCGCACTGACGTGCCTCTCATTTAGTCTCACTTGCCTTCTACATTTAAGAGGTTTTTTTTTTAAATATAGGACAATACACAATAAAAAAGAGTATTCTGGTTTAAACAATTTATGTGCTCTTGAAATTTTTGAAAAATTCAAATCATTTTAAATGGATTCACGGTAAGGATTCCATAAAATTTTCAAGTTTGTTACACTGGGCTTTATTAGGTACCATTAACCCTCCCTCATCTACCTCTTTGTTGGATCCCATCAACTCTTCACAATCTTTCAGGTAAATCCAGGTTTTATTTTAGCTTTACTTATAGTGAGGTACTTGGTAGAAAGATGAAATCTGTTTCATATTCTTCCCTTATATTTTAAGTCATGTGCCCGCCTATCTAGGATTTCATCTCACAGCCTGTCTGGTACATGTTACTTTCGTCTGATCCTTTGCTGAAAATGCACTCCTAATCCGCATAAAGATGATCCCAAACCAGCATATTCACAGTTGCCTCTTTAATACAACTATTACCAGTTAGGTTGCCTTCTGTTTGGAAACTTTTATGCTTAACCTCCCTACCTCACAAATTTAATGTCCATCCTATTCCAGTGATTTAAACACACACACACACACACACACACACTCTCACACACACTCTCTCTCTCTCTCTCTCACACACACACACACGGTCAAAAACCCTTAAAATTTTTGTCTGCTGAGATTAACATCTTCCCCTAACTCCTTTCAGCATCTGCTATGGTATTATTGGAAAACATCAAAATTGTATCTTAGGGTTTCTGGAGTCTGTGGAGAGCTCCTAACCCATATCATCAAACAGACAGTCTCTCTGGAGAAATGTAGTTAATCTTCATGTGAGAGGTGGGAGTTACAAACTGAACATTAGCCCTCCAGAGCTCTACCCTGAAAGGCACACACGGATGAGCTGGTATGGAGGCAGGAAGCAAGGTACCAAGCAAACTTTCTGCACAAAACATAAGGCAGTTCTTAACAGGACAGAGCATCATTGTTTACATTTTGCAGACTCTTGCCATTCTTAAGTAAAGATAAATTGCATGAGCAATAAAAGTGATTTCAGGACGACTTAAATCTGAAACTCCACACCCCATCCTTGCTCCCATATTTTGTTTAAATTATCATGTAGGAATTTCAGTTTAAGATTAACTTCTGCCATTCAGAATAATACAGAAAATATTTCCTAAGCAATTTAATGACTGACCACAATATGTAAAGATTTGGTTCTGATAAGATTACAAATAACCAAAAGTGTTAACTTTGAGATTCAAAACCCTGTAACACATGGAAAAAGTTGTTTATAACCTATAATAATACCATTAAGACTTAGTTATGGAATAAACCATTTCTGAAACACTTAGGAAAACATGCTTATTCCACTCTGGTAATTACTAGTACTTTCTGAAACCTGTTGAGAAATAATTTCTGTAAAAAGAGAGCTGAGTGTCAAATTCCAGAAGCTGGGTGTCAAGATTATGTTTAAAAAAAATCAGCTTCCAGCACTGGCTTGATATAAAATGGGCTTTAAAAAGGATTTTGAAATGCAAATACAGAACTCTTGATGCTTCCTGCATTACACATACTCTGTTGTGATCCATGAAGTATGGTCTTGGATTGTCTTCTCTGAGGTATCTGTAGAGTCATGTCTCGTTCTGTAAACAGTGTTTTGGAAACATCTTCATGTGAAATCATGGTGAAGTCTCATTTTACCACTCGACAAAAACTAGCACTCTCAGGCTGGCTGCAAGACCGGTGTGTGATGTGGCACAGCTGTCAGGAATTCCACTCTCTCACTCGGGTGTGCATTTATTGCTCTCAAGTCTGTGACCTGCAGGGTAGATAGGGCAGTAGTCCCCCAAGCATCTAAAATTAGGAACTGGCACTCTGGCAGTTTGCACAAGTTCTGTCCACTTCCTGCCTATAACTCTGAAGCTGAATAGTACATTTATACATGCCAAATGTGTTCAGTAACAAATGCTTGGCTTTGGACTGCACTTCCTCCCATTTAGATGAACTTCCAGGAACTGCAATGTCAAGAAAATATCGTTACTATTTGTTGTACATTACACATTTGTGAATAAGACACAGGGAAGAAAACCTTAGGAGACTGTGAACATATTTTTGCTAGTCTGATTTCTACCCTCTCGAAGCTGTTCTGTTAGAGAGATGTGTCAGTTTGCAAAGCCAGATCGGTTCTCGTTACGCACTCTCTCCAGTCCACTCTCAGCTAGAGAAAAATCTAGATATCAGTTACAAGTCTTTCATCTTTTGTTCTTTTTTTAATAAACCACATGCATGTACTATTTTGATAAAAAATAAAATAAAAAGCATCAATCTGTGAAATGATTTAAAGAAATAAACATAGGCTCTAGCTTTTCTTATGTAGAAAAAGCATGGCAAATAATGCCTTTAATCTGAAGGCAAAAATCTACATGTAACATCTCATTTCAGAGAGATAAAAATTATTGCTCTGCTATAAATATTGACCTGCAACTCACCTTTTAAAGAGCCCACACCTCCCTGAAAACAAATCTTTCCAGCAGAAAAGTCTTCCTACTTAATTGTAAGCACAGATATTGAATCCCAAAGAGAGAAGCCCACCAACCCCAGTGTTTACCGTCAGCGACATACTTAGCTGTATGTGTGCAATGGCCATGGGTTTTCCTGAAGTGAGAGACCAGACATTTAAGTCTTCCACTGAATGAACATCTTCTATTTTCATCAAGGCTTCTCTGATATAGTCAACATTCAAATGCCTTGGTACACCTATTAGTTCAGAACATATCATTTATAAGTAAAGTTTATC